TCTAATCATGAACAGCCGTGTTATTTTCCCTCCGCTATGTGACCTTGTTGCTTCCTCCTTCCCTCTTTTCCCTGCCACTCCCATCTATCTCTCCTTCTCTGGTTTTGTTTCAGCAAGAATTTGTTTTGGGGTTTTTAAAGCGGTGTTTTGGAGCTCATGCACAAAGAATGAGGTGAACTGGTTTCAATGACAAGTTTAGAAAAACACAGTGGTGAAACTACACCCACACAGCCTTAAACATACATCTTACGGCATATTTTTTCCTTAAGATGTGTTGAAAGCTTTAAAGTACAGTAGCTACATTGATTATTGATTGAAGAGGCAAAATTGTGTCATTTAATTGTTTACAAAGTTTAACAATTACAGCATCATTCCCCCACTGAAAAGCACTTAGTCTTTTCTCATAACAATTCCAAAGGTTGGAGCAAACAGAAGGAGGGATCTGCAAACAATGTGGGTCTTTTATGCTCATTTCTGTTAAGCTCATCCACAGATTTTTTTATAGGATATAATTCAGAGGTGCATTATGTTCATTGAAGAAGGATGATATTGTAGCTGATAAACACTTTTGGGTAAATTTATCTGTATGTTTAGGATCATTATACCTCAAAAAGACCCCTATAGTCAGGTTAATGGTCCACATACCACTTGAATTATATTAAATACCTCCTTGTAATTCTGTGTTCATGACATCTTACACTATAAGTTTCTTGAAAAAACGACCTGCAGCAGCACAGATCATGAATGTACTACTACTACTTTCATCACCTGCATTTTTATTTTTCCTGAAAACTCCATTTTGACCAAGTCAGACCTTGTCTTGTTTAAGTCACAGCATTGTCTACTAGCCTTGATGTGATTTTTTTCATGGTAGAACATGAAATACTTTTTTTTCTATCATTGTTTTTTAACTCCCATGTTGAGACACACATACGGCTCTGTGGTTGCACTTCCTGAACAGTGATGCTGCCTTCCATTTACCTCTAAACTCAGAACGTCAGCTCCAGTGACGTCATCTCCGATAGCATAACGTTCCAGTTTCTCACTTTTGGATGCTCATACAGCCACTTTTGACAACAATATTGTTCTACATGTGCTGATAAACAGGAATGAAAGATCTTGTTTTGCTAATACTGAAAATTGTAAGTGTATGACGGCCTTATGTTTGTTCTTAACTTATAAGACTGAATTCCATTAACTGCACACATTCTCCTGTTCTATCGAAATATTAGACACATTTCATAGCTCAGACACACTGCTCCTAAAGCTGTTGCACACAGTTAGAAAAATAATTCACTTTTTTTTGGTAAATGGCATGTACTTATATAGCACCTTTATTCAAGTTAGGAGACTTGACCAAAGCGCTTTACACTACATTCATTTACCCATTCACGCACACCCTCACACACTGATGGTGGCCACAGCTGCCCTGGGGCTCACTGACAGAAGCGGGGCTGCCGTACACTGGCGCCACCGGGCCCTCTGACCACCATCAGTAGACAATGCAGGTGAAGTGTCTTGCCCAAGGACACAACAACACTGAAAGTCGGAGTCGGGGCTTGTACCGTCAACCCTTCGATTTCTGGGCAAACTCCTACATCCAACGCCACTGTCGCCACTGTTTGCTTATTTGAATAGACTTTTCAGTCATAGCATTCAAAAAAGTGTACTATTTCTAATTTAGTAATGTACAGTCAGGGACTGTAATGATGATTTTTACTCAACAGTGAGCTGCATTTGTGCTAATTTTTTGGGACATCAATTTTATACTTAATGTGGAAACACAGTGAGAGAAAGGTGTTTTGAATTTTTCAGAGCAGTGTGCTAATTTTGATCAGTGTGCAAATTTTGACATGAGCGTTCTCATTTTGACAATAACACGCCACAAGTGTATGGTACTTTGTGAATTGTGTCCTATTTTTAGGTAAAAGTTTGCAATATTTTGGGAAATATGTTTTATTTTTCAGCATATTTGGTAAAATATTATTATGGTAAAATAGTGTTTTATCAACTGAGAAAAAATTGAATATTTGATTTATAATAAAGAACTGCCAAAGGAAAGTCACAGTAGTTTAATTTATCCTCTGTGACTTTGAGGTTGTAATATTGAAAACAGAATATGGCTCTGACTTTCTTATCAGTAAGCCCAACTATGGGGGGCCTTTAGTTATAATACAGAAAATTCTAACTTTGGAGTACAAATTAAATGCAGCATTAAATGAACCTAGGCTTTAAGTTGTGTCCAAACTCCAAGGAAACAGAGATTCATAGACTAGTGGTTAAAGGTTCCTAGCTACTCTGATTGTTATCATTAGGTTTTTGATTTTCTTTTTTTGTAATAGTTTTTTTTAACCTTGAAGTATTGCTTTGTTAGTTTACTTTTAGAGGTCATTGTTTTCCATATTAGGTTCAAAATCTCTGTTTAGATATTCCAATATGGTATTTCCTTAATCATTTGTTTTTTCCTAATAAGTTCACCTTTCCATGCTTAAGTTGTTGCTTCTCTTTACTGTTAGCTTTCTAGTTTGGACGACGCCGCCTTTTACAGCTGCTTTTTGTATCTCTGCTTCTGTCTCCTTGAACCCCAGTCGCCCTCTGCAGATAGCCGCTCACACTGAGCCTGTTTCTGCTGGAGGTTTCTTCCTGTCAAAAGGGAGTTTTTCCTCTCCACTGTCGCTACAAGCATGCTTAGTGTGAGGGATTGTTGAAGAGTCACTGAGTCGATGCAATTAACTGGTTTTCCTTAGATAGAGAAAACTTTAAATCAATCTGACTGTATGATCTGTTGAACTGTAAAATGCCTTGAGATGACATGTGTCATGTGACGTGAGTGCGAGTCAGCACTTTATAAATAAACTGAATTGAATTGAATAGTTTTTTCATAGGTTCATTCACTTTGAGTTAATTGTGCAAGTACCTTTTACTTTGCTCTGAATTCTGCTTAGTTGATATTATACCATAGTTCTCACTCTCAGGTCTGATTCACACTAACGTTGTTTCTTGTCTGCTCCATCACCTGTTGCAGCATTACACACTGGAGATATATAGGACCCATGTTATGTGAAATGTAGCGGAGACGCTTTACTGTTTCTGTGTTTGACTTCTGGTCTGGCTTATCTAGGTTTTAGACACTGATGAAGAAATAGAGTCAATCCATTTTTGATAGATAATGGAGGAGGGCAGGCGGTCATGTCATGGCAGAATTACTTCATTGATGAGAATAGTTTCTGTTTGTGATAGAAAAGGTTACGCACAGATGAAGAATAAGCTTGTTGGATTCACATGTTTATCTAACTCATGTCCACCACCTGATCCAGCTGCTTTCTTCTTTCTTGCTATACCAAGCTTTTCATGCCCAGATTTGACAAGTACCTGTTTATGAAGCACATGTCTGAGTGTAGGCTTTTCATTTATTTATTGAAACATTTCACCTAATTAGGCTTCCTCTTTCTGTTTTTAGTCTGATCCAATCCAGGATCCGAAGCTTGACACCAATAAACTTAGAAAAGTAACAGAATAGTTGAATAGTTGAAGAATTAGAACTTCTTTTCTCTCTATCTCTCTAAGGAAACATCTAATCTCACAAACTTTCTATGATTGGACCCATAACTGGTAAGCAAAGAAAAGTTGTGAATCCAACAAAAAAATGCTTTGAATCAAAGCTTCCCAAATCACAAGTAGTTTTATTGTAGAGGCTGTTTAGACGGGATGACAATTACTTTCAAACTGAAGAAGCAGTCTACACTGAACCCATGCCTCACAAAATCCATGAAGGTTAACTCTTATCCAAATAAACAGAGCGTGTTATCATGGCTTACTGATGATCTAAAGGCCAGGTAGAAATTCCTGCAAACAGGTTTGACATCCAGTTCAGGTATTTGTTTAACCTTGTCCTTCACATCCTGACCAAAATATTCCATTAGTTGTCTTTGCATTGCCAAAAAAAGTGTTCTTTGTATTCATGTTTTGCTGCCCATTACAATCACAATGGATAGATTTTAGATGGAAACCTGAACAGGGAGCAGTTTATGAGTAACGAAACGGCCTGATGTGTTTAAGACACCGTTTTTGTTCAATGACACATGAAAATCTGAAAAGAACCCCTACAAAATAGACATCATCCCATGGTGATTAATTATGACTTGTGTACTAAAGTTTTGATATAAACCCAGCTGAAGCTCTACAGCTTTAGCTCTACTGCTCAGTTAAACTGGGTCAGGATCGTCATCAATTTGGAACCTTTATGGCTGAACAGTTATTTAGACTGTTTTAAAAAAGCAAATACCCTAAACTAGAGAATCATAGACATATGTAGAAATATTTCATATATAGATGAATAAAGTCTTGTGTCCTAATTTTTAACCTACAATTTTTATTCTTTTATTTTTTTTTATTTTTTTTATACAAGGAAACCCAAAATGATCCATAGCCTTGTCCAGTTTTACTTTCCATAATGTATTTTACCTGTACGCAACAGTAGAAAGATGCAGTCATAGTGCCATTTCTTTTCCTTGGACTGATGAAGAATGACACTGATTAGTTGAAACTTTTTCCATCAACACTGGTGGAAGATGCAGTCGATACATATGCCATGGTTTTAAGGGAAATTAATACATTACCAATTGTTACAAGAGAATTGAAATTGAGCCAAACGTGATATCCTTACTTCTGGTGCTTAATTGATGATGTAATTGTTGATGAAATGCAATAATTAAGTGTCAGAGTAAGGATATCGAGCTTTGCTTAATGGATATTATTTCCTCATCCTTCTGATAAACCGAAAGAGAAGCAATAAACATGTTGTAATGGTTTATCAAAAGAGTGACTATTCATTTAAAAATACATTTACAGTGATCAAATGAATGTTAAGTCTTATTTACTGAAAGCCAAATTAGTGTCTAGATTTATAACAGCAATATGTTCACATGAGTTATGAACCCAAACACGTGATATGAACTCTTGTGACTTAACCTTTAATCTACATGCTGGACTTTGTTCCACAAACTGCAGGCATCTGTGTACAAAAGCTGTGCTCTGGGTAATTAAATATCAAATATCATCTTGGCTCACTGAAGACTGCCGGAACAATTTTGACTCTGGGAATCATGTTTAACAACAATCAGGTGAGGTAATTGACAAACCCTTTATATAAACGAACAGCACTAAAAACCTACTGAGTACTAAAGGGCCATGCAGTATGGCATCTTGCTATCTCTGAGTTTAGTCTGGATAAAATATGCTTTGAATTGCATCTTTTTTCAATGGTCACTGCTGTGCTTATTCTCGACTACGTTTATTTTCAATTTTAGAAACTTAATGGTTGCACAAGTCAATGCAATAACCAGAATATTGGAAAAAGACACACAGACACAGGCAATAATAACAACATACCTCTCTTTAAAGCTTATCTAGGACTCATGACCCGGAGGAGCATAACAAGCTCACATAGATTGTGTTAACACATGCAAACTTTAATAAAATTTAACAAAAAAGTTTATTAAATTAAATAACTTAATTGAGAAGATAAATGAATTACACACAAATGTAGTCTTTATTTCTTTTAATTCCTAATAGGTAATAAATACATTGGATGGATGGATGGATGGATGGATGGATGGATGGATGGATGGATGGATGGATGGATGGATGGATGGATGGATGGATGGATGGATGGATGGATGGATGGATGGATGGATGGATGGATGGATGGATGGATGGATAGCTTGTTAGATATAGCCAAAAAAAAACTTAGGGGCTTTTGCCTATGGTAGGGTCTCCCCTGCCAAATTGTCCCCAGGGGCATTTTCATGCAAAGAGACTGACAGATGGCAAACCATATAGCATTGTCGAACTTTTGCTCCTGGTGCTCTGAAATAAAATAAATGAAAGACAGTGTATGCCTCACCCGCAGGGATGAAAGTCAAAGTTAGCTGGTATGAGGGTCCGGTGGCAAGGAGGAAAGTGGGAGTCAGGAACTTGACATGCCATTTCTTGGTATTACAGTCTGGCCTTAGGGGGAAATCCAAAGTCAACCCATTGGTATGGGATCAAAACTTAATTAGAAGTTGAGCTCGATGTACAGTTAGTTGGACTCACCATCCTACACAGCTCATGGTTTTAGAACCTAGCTCCTTCCTAAAGTCTCAAATCTTGGGAAGATACCGGGATAATAACAAGACCTTTTCAGAGCTCTTTTTATTGAGTATGGCCTTTGTGCAGGGAGGAAGGAAAGTTCTGACAGGTATAGAAGTTTAACAGCAGTTCACATACTGTATCTTGGTCTTCTTGGAGTTCTGACTGGTTTAGGGGAGTACATTTGGTTGTGCTCTTGCGCTCCTGGTTAATTCAGTGCGCCTGTGGACGGTAATGGAGCTACCTACCTGGAGATGTGTGGCTTGGACGAGCAGTTTACACAATCAGAGCAATATCGTTATTGAACATTTAACCTTAACTATCCTTAAGACACATTATGACAGGCATAATATGTTTACATGTTTACTGAGAAAACAGGCAGTGCTGATCAAAAGAGGGTCAATTTTACTAAAATATAGTAAGATTTAAACAGAATGGACAGCCAATGTTACTGAATTCAATTCAAAGATTAGCAAATACAGTTTACCATTTCTTTTTGTTTTGTTTTTCTTCTCAGGACATGTCCACCATTGTTTCTGTATTCTCTGCACTCTTCTGTGTTTTATTGGCCCAGTCCTCACTCTGTAATGGAAGTAAGATCCTGGTAGTGCCTGTTGACGGCAGCCACTGGATCAACATGAAGATTATCCTTGAAGAGCTTCACGCCAGGGGCCATGAAATCACAGTTATGCGCTCTGCGAAGAGCTGGTTCATCCCTAGTACTTCCCCTATTTATACCTCAATTAATGTCACAATGTTTGAGGATGATGCAGACAGAGACTTCTACATTAAAATGCTCAAGGATGTAATGGATCGCCGCAGCTATCCCAATTTTATACGGACACTTTACCAACAGCACTTGCTCACATCTGAAATAGGTGATGGTCATAAGATTTTGGCCAAATTCGCTGCAAAAATTATAGAGGACACAGAGTTAATAAAGAGATTACAGGATACTAAATTTGATATAATATTGACAGACCCTGCCCTTACTTTGGGGGTTATTCTGGGTAGTTATCTCAAGTTGCCGATGGTATTTAATGTCCGCTGGATGAATCTAGGTGAGGGTCATTTAGCCATGGCTCCCACCCCTGTGTCTTATGTCCCTGTATCAGGAAGTGAACTTCCTGATCAAATGGATTTTCCAGAGAGGATTAAAAATATGTTGCATTATCTCCTCAATGTTTATGAGCAGTACTTCATTATTAACCCAGCCTACTCAGAGCTGTTCCAGAAACACTTTCCTCCTGGCACGGACATGATTTCTTTGGAGCTCTCAGCTGAAATCTGGCTGTTTAGGGCAGATTTTGTCTTTGAGTTTCCACGGCCCACCATGCCTAATGTGGTGTACATTGGGGGGTTCCAGTGCAAGGAGGCCGAACCTCTCCCTGATGATTTGGAGGAATTCATGCAGAGTTCTGGAGAACACGGTGTTGTGCTCATGTCTTTGGGAACACTGGTGTCAGCTCTGCCTTCAGATATCACTGAAGCCATTGCTGCTGCATTTGCTGAGCTCCCTCAGAAGGTGATTTGGCGGACTTTAGGTGACGAACCTTCATCTCTAGGAAATAATACCCGGCTAGTAGAATGGTTTCCCCAAAAGGACCTTTTAGGACACCCTAAGACCCGTCTCTTTGTAGCCCATGGGGGAACCAATGGAATGTATGAAGCCATCTATCACGGTGTTCCTGTTCTAGGCTTACCCCTCCTGTTTGATCAATTTGATAACTTACTCAGACTGAAGGTGCGCGGTGCAGCTCGAGTGGAAGAGGTCAGGACTCTGACTAAAGACAGTTTCCTGGAGGCTCTGAAGGACATCTTAGAAAATCCATCTTACCAGAACAACATCCAACATCTTTCTCAGCTACACCGTGACCAACCAATGTCTCCAATGGACACTGCCATCTTCTGGATAGAGTATGTCATCAGGAACAAAGGAGCTGCTCACCTGAAGCCAGCAGGTTTCAGTCTGCCTTGGTATTCCTACTTCTGTTTGGATGTTGCAGCCTTTCTTTTGGCCATAACCGGAACCTTCATCATGGGTTCGGTCTTTGTCTTCAGGTTTTTCTGTTGCAGGAAATCCAACAAGAAATTAAAAGCAGAGTAATTCACCAAAATATTTGACACTTGAAAAACTTTTATGAATTACTTTAACTCTACCTTTTTATAAATGTCATTTACAAACATGTTTGTCTTATGTTAGGATAATTATCATTTGTTTTAAAATAATAAAACTTTTAACCAACATTAAACATGTAATGAAGTCTTACTTTTGGAGCTTGACAGCAAAGTCTTTTGCCACCATTGTATAGAAAAGAGAAGGAAATGTCAAGTATTTACTTTACTGCATGTACCATCAACAGATTAGTCATTGTAGTTTAATGTAACTTAGCGTTTTGTAGTCTTAAGAACTAAAGTTCTATTTTACATAAGTCTGATTTGAGAAACTACTGTTTGTTCGTCACAGCCAAGGAACACCGGACCAGCTCCAACATCTGCAGGATGCATGAGGGTTTATGGGGGCTTGCCCAACCAGTCCGCATGCGTTTTGTGGAACTGAGGAAGGCTTTGTGGGGAACACCCCAGGCGTACATATTCAGGGCCCCTTTACTAGGGGCCATCCAGTTGCTGTAAAAGTGGAGAAGGTGTCTGGTCCAAATTTCCAGTATTAAGTTGGACATGAACCATGGCGGACCTGCTCATTGTCACCTGTCCTGATGTCAGATTTAGGTTTAGTGAAGGGTCACAGTTGGGTTTTAGGTGTCAAATATATTGTAAGAACATATTTTTTTTCGCAAAAGATGGTGTCTGCTAAAGAGGTTATGTTTGAGAGGAGAAAACTGTTTAAAGAGACTGTTGATTTCCCTGCCAAATTCATCCAGTGTGTAATCTTTTAGCCAAAATTAAAGGAAACATATTATTTGTTTGCACTTTACTTTGGTATAATTAACACATAACATGGACAAACTGGTATAAAAAAGTATTTAATACAGGTCTAAATAAACACAATATTCATTTGATTTATTTAAATGACTGCAAAGGGGGTGATAATAAAAGTATAAAAGCAGTTTACAATGCTATAAATGATGAGTACCTACAGAACAACTAGGATCTTAAAATATGTAGGACAGTTACATATGTTAAACAAACCCACTGATTAAAGATAAGGGCAATAATTGTTTCAGGCTGACCTTTAAACCAGAAAATGGACTTTGCTTTGAGTTTCAGGGTCTCTGCATGTAAAACCTGTGATGAGTATCCAACACTATTCTAGTTCACCAGCAACAGGCTTCTCAAATTAAACCTCTGGAATTGGATTCCATAACAATCAGGTTGGATCTTTAAATAACATTTGTATGAACCACTAATGGATCTAAGTGCTTTTAATATTTATCTGAGAGTAAAATGTTTTTTTTTTTTTTTTTTTTTTTTTTGCATACTCTTTACATTGCTGCAAGTGTCTGTATTATCGTCTTTTCTGTGTATTAATTGCTTCACTGGTTGGACTGAAGGCTATAAATGATTTTAATTAGGTAACAATACATACTGTACACTTATGACAATAGTTATACTGGTTACTCTTGGATTTTATATTTTGGAAGATGATTACAATATGTTATACTTAGGAATGTTTCCTTTAAAAACATACAATAACAAAAAGTTGTTATTCACCAAAAAAAAAAAAATCTTAATATTTGCTGTAGGTTTTTTTTTTCACATTTTGTGGATAATCTTCATATTTTAGAAGATGCCACCCCTTTTTGTTAATCTGATATGTTCTGGGTCCGTCAAATGCTAACCCGAGTCATGAAGAAGTATTGTTTGAGTAACGGGACTCCCTCTTGGCAACCTTTTCAAAATGTCTTTCTTGTTCAGACTTATGCATATTCCAGTAGTATGTCTTTTTTTCAATAATTAACCTTTACTACAGTGAGCTATTCAGTGTCCATCAGCATGCAATCTAAATTTTTAAAAAAGAAGTTGAAAGGAAGCTGGCAGAGTCAATAATAAAGACGGCAAATTTATCATTTGATAAGGCCAATTTGGCAGGTGGTTTGTGATTTAATTATGCCATAAACAGATTTTTCTTCGCAGTATATGTAAGGCTATCATAAAACTTAATCAGGCATTAGTAACACAAAGCCAACATGGATGTTCAAAAAGTTAAAGACATAACACTTTTTGTCATACTAAAGTACAAGTATCCTGTTTTGTCTTGAAAATTCACCAAGTGCAGTAAAGTTAAAAAGGGGTTCAAACCAGAGCTCTTTGGTCCAATTTAAACTTATCAGGATTTTTCTTTTTTGGTAGAAGCTCATCTGAACTCTGGGGCAGATCAAACCAGCTAACATGCACAGTGGGAATGCTAACAAACTGTACAGGAAGGCAACCAAAGAGAGATAACTTCTTTCTTTATGATTTACCCACATATGTGATCATAAAAATCAAATCGTCAATTAGTATCTAATGATAGTTTCAAAATCTATGGGGTAGTTAAGTGTATTCTTCAGTTTATTCAGAGCAGCTCGTAGGATAGCTTGGTGCCTTGGCATTTGTAAAACAAACTCCACATGACCAGTTAGATGTAGTCCAGGCAGATTCACCTATGATACAGCATAAAAGTGAAGTATACCAGGTGACAGTGTGAAGTTTTTGACATCAATCATCCAATTGAGCCGAGTCCAACATTTATAGGATTCTATCTCCTCATGCCTGAGGATATATATATACCGGTATATATCTTTCTAGGCCATGTTTCCGTCCAACAGAAAGTCAAATTTGAAGCAAACTTTTAATACTATGAATAAGAGGAGGTACGAAATTGTTGTTTTGACATTTGGTTTGAAGCGAATTAACCAAACAATTCAGAGATTAATGTGGTCATACATTGTCGTCCACGTTACATCATGGCGGTAATAAATAAGAAATAGAGGGTGCAATTTAGCACAGGCGACAAATCAGTATTGGGGCCAAGTTTTAATGAATGTGTTGCTATCAGGTAAGTTGTTCTTAAGTTGACATGTCAGTTATTATTGGCGATGTTGCTTCCAGCCACGTTTAAGTGCAACCGAGAAGACGCCAACAGCAGAAACAGCTGATCAGTAGTGTGAGAGTCTGGGATGTCTGGGATGATTCGAAGAAAGTGTTTCCATCCCCCATTAACCCTTTTTCATGAAAGCCAAAAACCACCTCAACAAGCGTGAAATTTTTGTTTTTCTATTTTGAGAGAGTTTCTTTTTTTAATTTAGCCGTTTCCATCAAGCTTTCTGAAGTGATACTCCAAAACATAGCACATTAGAATAGGCTGATGAAAACACGCCTTATGTCCCTGTCAGGGCTCAGAAAAGATTACCCAGTAGTCAAGACAGACAGACAGTTGAATATCTCAAAAACCATTTATCTAAAAATGACGGATCGTCAGTAACAGCAAGGAACATCTGGTCTTCTAGTTTAGTCCGTGCTCTCGGGACAAGGTTAATTCCAGGTGGTTGGTTGCCAACAAGACACGGCCGACGCCGCCCAGAGAGTCTCAGATGCTGTAGCCCCAGAGGTCATAGGGCAGGCAGGAGGTCAGAACTGAGCAGACAAAGAAAGGCAGGATAATGCAGAGAGTGAAGTCAAAGCCTATGTAGAGGATGTGCTCGGGATTCAGAAGTACAAAGAGGACTCTAAGAAACATCCACGATGGTGTCAGGAATTTGTTAAAGGTTCAGTAAACAGGCAGAATCCAGCAGGAGTCCAAAGACAGGTCAGTCAAACTGACCAAAACAGAGACAGGCAGGCTCAGAGGTCCAAAAGCAGAACAGGTCAGGATCAGGCAATCTGTAACAATAAGGTACGCAGGAAGACTTTCACTACAGCCTAAAAAAATCTGGCACTGATGACTGGAAGCAGGCAGGTTAAAGAGAGACTGGAACAGGTGACAGATGAGAGGTGATGAGAAACTAGGCAGAGCAAGGCAGGTGAATGGAATGAACAATCAAGCCAGTCATCTGCACCAAGATAATAACAGTCACAGCTTTTGGATTGTTTGGAAATATCTTTACAGCTTTTCATAGACAGATGTATTAAAGAATAGGGGTCAAAGTCTGGTCCTTGAGGGTTCTTCTTATGAAACATTTCAATCTATATAAAGTCCCAACCAATTTCTTATGCAAGTTCCACTTATCACTGTTAATGACCTAATTTGATTCAGCTGTTTGGCTTTGGACACAGTTAAATTTTAAGGACACCAGTCTTTGAGTGATGTATAGCAGAGCCAGCAAATCACACAAACTCCTGACTTAATAGATGTGGTTAAACCAACCCCTTACTCCTGCTCTCTTAAATCATACTCTATATAAGTAGAAGTCTGGTGAAGTGAACAAATTTGCATAAATATTATCCTTGTTTATCTTGCAGATGGTGTCTACCTCTGTCACCATATTCCTGGCTGTCCTCTGCTCCCTGTTGCTCGGACCTCCTTACTGTAATGGCAGTAACATCCTGGTGGCACCTGTTGACGCCAGCCACTGGATCAACATGAAGATTATCCTTGAAGAGCTTCACTCCAGGGGCCATGAAATCACAGTTCTACATTCAGCCAAGAGCTGGTACATCCCCAGTAACTCCACCATTTATACCTCAATTTATGTTCCAACGTTGGAGGATGAGACAGACAGGAGCTTTTACAATGAAATGCTGAAAGATGTTATGAGTTACCGTGGCTATCCAACTTTTATACGCACGTTTTACCAACAGCGCCTCATTACATCAATGTTAGAGAAAGGTCATGAAATTCTGGCAAGATCTGCTGCTAGAATTTTAGAGGACAATGTTTTCATGAAAAGCTTGCAGGATAGTAAGTTTGATCTCATGTTGACAGACCCTGGCCTTACTTTAGGGGTTATTCTGGGTGGTTACCTTAAGCTGCCGATGGTCTTTAATGTCCGCTGGATTAACAATGGAGAAGGTCATCAAACTATAGCCCCTTCTCTTATGTTCCTGTACCAGGAAGTGAACTTCATGATCAAATGGATTTTCCAGACAGGATTAAGAATATGTTGCATTATTTATACAGTGTTTATGAGCATTACTTCATTATTAACCCCGCCTACTCAGAGCTATTTCAGAAACACTTCCCTTCTGGGACTGACTTGGTGTCTTTAGAGCTCTCAGCTGATATCTGGCTTTTTAGGGCAGATTTTGTCTTTGAGTTTCCACGGCCCACCATGCCTAATGTGGTGTACATAGGGGGGTTCCAGTGC